AGAAATAAGACATTGCACCAATTCATCTTTGTATTGATAATAAAGTTCTGACCAACAAGATATGAATCCAGCATTAAATAGTTCACGTGCTAAGGGATGATAGACTCCAGCCAAACTTGCGCATGCTCTTAATGCATGTGATGGCGATTCTTTAAGTAACTCAACGCTTAATCGACGAATCCATTCGGACCAATCATCGCGAGTTGATCTTTGTGAACACTCCCATGCATTTTTGAGATGTTGCTGATTGACCGGAAGTTTTTTTGCGCTTGCTTCAGCTGCAGGCGTCTCTTCAGCCTTTGATTCATTGTAACGTTCCTCTAATCCGAAATCCTGGGGTAATGCCTCTCCTTTTAATAATTTTGAAACTAAGATTTCGTAGAGTTGGTGTTGAATTCGATGCTTTTGTAGTACTTTATTGATCATTGGAATGAATATAGCATAGTCCGAGCCAAGCTGATAGACAAGTTCACAAAGCGTATCCATTGCTGCCATTCTCAATTCATATACTGGCACAGCGAGGACTCGAGCAAGAGGATGTATAATTCTTGATGCATGATCCGAGAAGTTCACTTTCTTTGATAATTGTCCAATAGTTACTATTGCTGTTTTTCGCAAAGAAATCAGAACATCTTGTTTCTCAAAAAGTTTTACTACCATTGGAATGATAAGATGCATATATTCCTCAATATTAGTCCCAAAGACCACAAGTGCGTGTAAGACTTTTTGTGTTGGTTGCCGTTTATCGCTTTTATCTTCTTCAAAAATCTGCAGTAAATCAGATAAAAGTTTCGGCAGATAATTTTTAAATTCACCATCTAATGCACGAGCAATTTCTTCCACAAGATTAATGATCATTATCTGAATTGGTGCACTCGGATTCCAGTAAGTTTTGACTAATTGAAAAATATCTGTTAAGTAGTTTCGTATGTGTTGTTGAACTATTGAGACGAGAATACTTAATTGTTGAAAATAGAAATCAAGCATTCCATTTGGACATGTTCGCATTACACCCAAAAATGCGGGTGTTATCTGTAGAAAGTGGAAGATGATATTTATTACATTAGGATAAAACAGTATTAGAAAAACTTATTATTAATAAAAATTATTTCTTAACTTACTTGGGGCAAAAATGGAACGCATTTCAAACCAAGTGTCTTGAAAATATACATGACAGCTGTAATTACCGCAGTATGATGAACGGCTAATGTAGGATCTCGCAATATCCTCATCAACGCGTTTATTACGACTGTAGGATAATAATCTTCAGAAGATGGACCCATTCCGATCATAAGTAAAGAAACATCCGAGTTTGACGATTTAGGATCAGACATTGCCTCGTCAGATGAGACAATAGTTATCTGCCCATAATAAAGAAGCGGTGTAAGAAAAGAAATAAATTTACAATATTATATAGTTTCACGGGATAAAATAATTTACCTTATGTCGGTAAGGATCTAGTGCACCAAGTATACCAACTAGTTTCACAGTCTCTCGTCTTATGGACGTAGAAGTCTCCGTTTGCAAAATGTTTATTAAGATATTAAGCAATTGAGGATACTTCAAGTACGGATCAATCACAAAGCCAGTATTGCTTGCAAGTTGCCCAAGTGTTTTTAATGCTGCATCTCTTTTTGTAATAGAGCCTTGATCCTGTAATGCGTCAATAATCAGAGGCATTAAATCATCTAAGAAAGGAATTAGATCTTCTCCGCCAACTCGTGCTAGTTCACCAAGAGCTGCTAATACACTAGAAGCGACTGCTGGACTTGGATCTCGTGATTTTGGTAACAGTGCTGTGAGAATTGATTCAACGTAAGGCTTGATTAGCTTTTGTGATGCTGAGACTAATAAACTTAATAGTCGTGCACTTTCTTCTTTTTTTCGACTAAAAATTAAAGATAATCATTAATTGATAAATTGACATAGTAAAAAACAAACAAAAATCATTTGTATACCTCACTGAAGAATACTCGAGTTCTGTTAAAAGTTGAATTAATGTTTTTCTCAAAGAAGGCATCACATATGCTGGATTATGTGTTGCCAGTCGACCGATAATGGATATTGTAATCTCGCGTATAGCAAAAACTTCGTCATTCATTGCAATAAATAGGGAGCGAATATTTTCTGCTTGTGCTAGATGTCGGTCAAATTTTTTATTGAGATTCGACAAGACAGTTTCTCGTATGGATGCGTCTGATAAAGCAAAAATAATGTTAGGTTAGTAACAGAAAATTAAACAATACTAACATATTTCAGCAGTTTTACTTCACCCGGATCAGCAACACCAACTGCTAAAAGCTTTTCAAGCACTTCGTTGACTACTTGTATAGAGTGACAACTGATTTGGTCCAGAATTGGATCACGTGCGAATAGTTGACAACATGTAAATGCTGCAGCTTTTCGAACTTCGACGTTATCAGTTTCCAGATAGCGTACCACACAATCTTTTACAAATTCATTCAAAGTATGATCTAAAAATATTTATTTATATTAAATTTAATAAATTAACCATTATACCAATATAATTAAATTTTGATTAATGAAATAAATTCATACTTTCGAAATTGAAACTGCCCAAAGTATTCAGGGCCAATGTTATAGTCTCAATATCTTTTATTTCAGATATTTGGGCGGCATAATGTCTCCTAATATCGTTTGCATCAGAAGGGAATGTTCCAGGTAGACGGAAATGTTGCCCACTTAATGTCATCGATAGCATGTCTAGTAAACGGTCTATAGCGCAAAATAAAATAAAAAGATTTAGTTTAATATTATAGTATATAGTAGTAAAGACAAATCAATCAAAATTCTTGTTACCTTGGATTGTTTTTAATAATGGTGGAATATAGAAAGCTAAATCATTTAACGCGTCTCGGAGTGGTTCGCTCAATCCACAAGCAAACATTAGGTCAAGTAATTCGTGCATGTGTTTTGTAAGCGCTTGTCCGACCGCTTTGGCTAACATTCCTATGCACTGAAATATCGGTGCTTCATTTCCAACTCGATTTCTCCTG